ATACAGAAATAAAAATTTCATTATCCCTGAACATTTTGGTATACTTTTTGTTAAAATTGCTTAATATTTAGTATTTTTAATTAAGGAAAGAAATAGTTGGTTTATAACTGATCACAGTTTATTATTAATTTTATTACAACTATCCTGGTTTCTAATAGATTTTCTTTTGGACAATATTAATTACATTTTATTTAATCTAGGTGATATATCCAAGTTGCGCAACTGTTAACCTGGGTAACGAGCTCACACCAACTCAAGTTAAAACAAAGCCTAACGTGGACTGGCCTACCACACCAGGGGCACTTTATACCCTGGTCATGATCGATGCCGATTATTCAACAAACACAAATACAATAATAACTAACATAAATAATTTACATAGACAAAACCTACATTGGTTAGTTGTAAATATCAGCCGTGTAGACCCTGGTCAAAAGGTTTGCTCATACATGGGCTCGGTGCCCATGGAGGGTACAGGTCTGCACCGGTATGTGTTTCTAGTATACGAACACAAGCATAAGATTATAGTACCGGTGACTGACGGCAGTCTCAAAAGTCGTAAGAATTTCAATGTCCGAGAGTTTGCCCGACAGTACGGGTTGGGTGAGCCGGTAGCCGGAAATTTTTACCATGCTAAGTTTGACGATTACGTACCCATAATAACTGCTAAAGTTATTAATTCAAATAAAACTATTGTGAGAAGTACACAGGATCATTCGCCAGCGTATTTCTGGATATGGGAGGGCTATGGCTAATTAGAAAATTAGTCTAATTAATAAACACCCAGAACATTTATTTTTATTTTTATTTATTGATTTAATAGTTACCATAATAAAACAAATGTTCATAATTTTAATGTATTAATAATAAAGTGTTTTGAGATTTGATTAAAGTATAAAATTGAACACGAATTTTATTTTAATTTGAGATTATCTAGATAATTTTAAAGTAAGAGCTGTGAATGTGCTCAATACCAAAGTATAGTTTATGTTTTACATTAGAGCCTACAATTAACTATGGTTAATAACCCTATTTAAATTGAGACTTATCATGTTGATTTAATACACTCATACTTATATTAAAAGTCGAATAATAAACCATGATAATATAAAAGTTAATAATAATATTTCACATTAAGTTTAAATATTTTTGTTAATTATATGAGTAATCCATTGAATATTATCGGAAACCCTGACAAACCAGTTATAACTGTCTGGACCGCAACCATAAGCCCCCGAAAACTTGGATGAACTCGTGCCCACCCCTATCACTACAGCCCGTCCATTACTGTACTGTATTAAAGGTCCACCTGAATCGCCCTGGTCAAATAATAATGCCAAAAAGTTTTTATAAAACATTTTGACATAATGATAAATTTTGACGTTAATGCTCTAAATATAAATGTATAAATAATGTTTATCAGGTAAGTTTTATCAGTTAATTTTAAAATTAAAATGATCACTGTTTAAAAAACGATTGAAACGATCTATATAAAATAATTTATTAATGAATTTGCATTTTGGTAAACATTTATTAATTGTATATTACCTTGCACTCTGCACTCCAATTACCTGGGCTCGACCTAATCAACCCAGGACGTCTCTTTGTTGATTTAGGGTCAATGACAGTGAGTCCCAAATGTAGCCTGTCCACATAATGATCCAGTTGACTTGAAAAACCAAAACCCGGGAATACAGCGTATTCGGGACCGGTATTAGAGATGTCGGGCGCCGGTAGACAAACACTATTGATGGGACGGTAGCCGTCAATCTGATGTCGTAAGTCTATCGCAGTGTTTAATTTAATTAACGCCAAATCCTTTGGGTTGAAACCCTGGGTATAGTCTGGATGTCGGAACACTTTTTCTGCTGTATAACCCGTCCCACACCGGGATTTATAGACAATTCCCGGGTAGACAGTCGTAAGGATTTCTGTACAGTTGGTGCACTCAGTCCTTGTGATTAACATTAAAATTACGTAACATTAAAATAAGTATCAACCTGGTCATGTAATTAATTGATAATAGTATAGTGAATACATACAGTACACAGTGAGCCGAGGTTAATAGCCAACGATCATTCACCATAACAGCCGTACAATTGCTGCTAATATAATAAAAACACATATCATATAAAATATAGGTAGTAGGTGATTTGATATTATCCTGAATATTTTTGTGCGAGTAGAAAACATAACAAATATCTTTAACTTGCTCTAATTTGAGTATTTTAGCAAAAATTTCAAAAGTTTAAAACTTAGTCAAATTAAACCAAAATATTGTTTCGTTTTTAAATAAGTTAATTTAATTTTGTTTGATAAAATATTATTAAATGATCATGGTAAGATGAAATCACTATCATATATAAGATTTTTTTTCTTTGATATAAATATTAAAAATTTTGTTTTAAATTATTTTGTTGTAAATATTGGGGTTTAGACAGTATTTTATTTTTTGGTTATATTTACTCTAAATTTAAATACAACTTTTATATTGTTTAAATAATATATTAAAAATTTCTTGTTAATTATTATAGGTATCAAGGTGGTGTTAACGTTATATAAATCTCTTTCTTATTAGTCAAACTCATTTTCGACAATTTTTTATAAAAAATAAAAAGGTTACTAGTTACTAGGTAAGTGTAAACATTTTTACATATATATCGCAAACCTTTGTGTGAATGTTTGTGCATAATTCACGAGTCGTTGATTTGATTTGATTATAGTTTATTTTAAATTAAATATTTATGATGGTTTATTATAACTCAGTTATAATATCAATCAATACATTGAGAAAACAAATTAAAGTTATTGAAAGTTGTACTGTATATTAAAATATTATAAATAAAATATTAATTAATTTTAATTTTGTCTAGCCCAAAATGAATTCAAATACAATATAAATCGTTTCAAACATAAAAATATTTACATAATACTAATCAATGTATTGTTTATTTATAACTAATTTAATTTTTATTTCATCCCGGTTACGCCTAACACACCCTTTTGTAATTAGTTGTGCATGCTATTTCTATAATTACATAAGGCACATGACCATTTCACTTTGTAATGCAATAAAGTAAACTAAATTAATATAGTAATATAATTATTTATTTTAGCATAATACTAATCAATATATTGTTTATTCACAAATGAATTAATTTTTATTTCGGTTACGCCTAACACACCCTGTAGTGATTAGTTGTACTTGTTATTTCTACAGTATAAATACATGAGGTATATATTATATAATATTATGATTATTTCTTTTTGTAATACAATACAATATAAAGTAAACGTAATTTAAATAGTTGGGTATATTTTTAAAAAATAATATGTTTGAAGTAAGAATTAGCTTAATGAAACAAGTTAAGAATAAGGTTTATTAGTTTAAATGGCTAATTTAGTGAATATGATACGTTTAGTAATTAATTTTATTAAAATTTATATAAACATATTATTTGTATTTATACTTACGTGTTTTATGAAATTATGTAATATAACTAAACACATTGTGTTGAAAATAATAACTTTAATTAAACATTATTTTAAGGCATATTTCAAATTACTCGTAAAATTAATATGTCTTTCAGTGCTATTCTATGGAGGAATAGAAGTGACAAAAAATTACTTCAGTTATCCATATGTTTATAGACTGAGTGCTAAACCATCAGAAAGACTAGATTTACCGCCGATTACTATCTGTACGGAAAGGGACGTACTTTTTGATAAGACCCGGATTATTGACTATTTTAACATAAGTAAGAAATTCATAGAGAATTTAAAGTTGGCTAGGATAAATACGCAAATGCTAGAAAATAGATGCTTAAATATAAGCAGCAAATATTCAAAGGAGGTATCGGAATAAGGATTAATCATGTTGGATTTTAATGAAATTT